TCTTAAACTGTTTTCTTAGTTAATATATTCGGGTACCCAAGGACATTCTCCGGTTCGATAACGTATCATGGGTTAAAATAGCCCTCACTTAGCAAGAAGCCAGCTCTTAAGAGATGCTATTCACGCTGCGAGTTGTATGGCATCTCTAACGAGCAATAAACAGACATCACGGACAGTCAGGACGTGCCACAGGCTGCAAGTTTCCATCCAAAGCACTTAGTGACTATCTGTGAATAATGAATACATTCATGGGATGCAGCATGGCTTGGGCAGCGCCCTTGAGAGGGGAAAAGTTCTCTTCCAGTCTCACTGATGGTGAGGAATTCAGCTGGACTGGGTTTATAAAGATAATACACTGGAAAGAAAAATAATTTGCTCTGTTTTCCCATCTTCAGGGACCCATTACATTTTACTGCAAGTTCGGGAGGGAATCTACAAAGTGTTGCTGCACTCAAGTGCTATTTAACCCACATTTGAGGGGCTTTAGGGTTTTCTACCTTCAAGAAAAAGTTTCCCACGGCCGCGTCCTTGTCCTTTTCGTGCTCCCTGCCGCAGAGGCCACCCAAAAAAGGTTCTCCCGTGAGATGAGCATGGGATCTCCATCCAGGCGTGGGGGATGGCAGGGACACCCCTCTGAAAAGTCCCCTTTCCTTGTACCTGCGAGCTCAGAGGGACATAACCCACCACTCCTGGGTCCTGCTTCGCACCTGCCACTTTTTGAGGGTGGCAGAGCCTGTGCAGAGACCTGGCAAATCCTAGAGGGACGAGAGATAACCGAGAGGGAGAGTTTGGGTGGCTCCCAGGAAGGTGAGCGGGTCCCCGCCTCTCCAAAAAAAGGAGCAGGAGAGGAAGTTGTTACACAGAGATTTAGGGGGGGCGTAATCATCTTCTGGATGATTTTTACTTTATGGGGGTTGTTTGTTCGTTTGTTACTTGTTGTTTTCTTGTTTTATTACTGCTTCTTAGTAGCTAGCCCAATCATCCCACCCCCTCTGCTCTTCTGAAGGAGTTTTGGACACAAAAAAGAAACAGTGCTTTTTAGGAACTGTTTTTGCTTTTTGGTGGCTTATGACTAGTTATTGAAGATGCTAATACAGCTTTTATTTGTTTTATTTTTATTCCTAAATACCTGAACAGCACATGGCTGAAACACTATTTTTAAGTACGCACACACACACACAAACATGTATATATATATATATATATATATATATATATATATATATATATATATATATATATATATGTGTGTGTGTGTGTGTGTGTGTGTGCATATATATATACACGCGGGTTTATGTGTATAGTTATAACTTATAAATATGTATTATATATTATAGATAGATAGATAGATAGATAGATAGATAGATAGATAGAAAGAAAGAAAGAAAGATAGATAGATAGACAGATAGACAGATAGACAGATAGATAGATAGATAGATAGATAGATAGATAGATAGATAGATAGATAGATAGATAGATCAACCCGAGGCAGATATTGGCCAAGAATTCCCTTACCCCCAGCGATGCCGTCTGATCTCTTGGGAAGGTGTCAAGAACTGAGCGATCTGTTCAGCACCGCTTTTTTTTGATGCGGAGAAAGGAGCAAGATGCCCCTGCCCAAAGCCACCTCTGCCCGCAGCGCTGGGGGTCAACAGTGCCCCGCAAAGACCCGGGCTCCAAAAATCGCGGCCCTTAAAAGCAAAGAGGAGCAGAGGTTAGGGATGCGAGCGATAAAGCCTGCCTTCCATTTCGCTTCTATTTTACGACACATCGAGGCAGCGAAGGAAGAGCGAGGGGGGACATCACCCACCAGCAGGGTGATTGCGTTCACATTGCGAGAACCGTTCCGCTCCGTGCGGTGGGCGGCCGGGCAGTGGCGGCACCGTGACTCGCTGGAGGCTCTTGTCACACTCACACGCGCGTTTTCGGCCCCAAATACAGCCCTCCGTCTGCTAATTCCCCACCGAGCCCGGCCCCAAATCCCCGCTTCTGTCTGCCCTCTGCGTGGCAGTCGCTGTCGAGCTCAGGAGCCGTCGGAGATGGTGACGGGGGATACCCCGCGGGTATCCCAGGCCGGCGGTGGGCACGAACTGGAAGCCAGGAGTGCTCAGCCGAAGAGACCCCGCTGGACCTGCGTGTCTCCGGCGCCTCGGAGAAAAACACCTACTTGGGAAAGAACCAGAGCCAAGGATGGAATAAAATAAGAGGCCCCACCACCTCTAGTCTAAACCTGGTCTCAAAGCCAGCTCTGTAGAAAACACGTGGTTCTTTCTCCCTCCTGACCCACCGAAGGCATCAGGCATTAGACCTGTCCAGGCTAAGGCTTTCCATTCTCCCGCCTGCAAAAAAACAAACGTTTACGTTGCCTCAAAGAGACTCCCGAGGAAGAGAAGGCAGCGGGGGAAGTAGAGGTTTCGCCTCGCCGCGGCCCCGCAGAAGCGCGGCGGAGGCGGCCCGGGAGCTGCCGGGGGGATGGCAAAGCCCCCGGTACACCGCGACCCTCCGCCCGCGCTGCCTCCGGGCAAGCGGCTCCGAAAGGCGTAAGGGCAGCGGCCAAGGATGCCTTTCTAACGTTAAATGAAGAAAATACCGACATTGAGTGCTTTTTCTGCTTTCCTATCCCGTTGGGTGGCTGCAGGAGACACACACCCCTTTTATTCTCATCATCATATCAAGCAGTAAGGACAGGAAGCCTGAAATGTTAGCAATGTCATTATCGCAATGCAAAAAGTGTGTAAACATAACTACGAGTTTTAAAATATCCCCAGTAAACGCGGACGTGCATGTACGAGTGTTGCACTTACAGGTATAGAATTATACTCATCCTGATTTTGTGTTTCAGGAATACATCTGAGTACACACGATTTTCACAAGCACAGTTGAACATTATTGCACACCGAACAGTTATACCTTATACTAAAGCAATATGGAGGGGGGTGGAGTGGGGAAAGCATGAGCAAATTTAAGTTTAATTTTATTAAACTATTTATAAGCGGAAAGCAGAAAATATTACAGAATTTGCATGATCACACTGTGGAGATACTTTATAAAATATGGATATGGGACACAAACATATCTTTTATAGTTATGAAGATTGCATATATGATGTATAGAAGCAATCACGGGACACATTTTTTTCTTTATTCCGGAAGGCACACATTTTCTGAGTCTGGCAGTCAAATAGAGCTGACGGTTTATGAATGCATAAGAACTATCGGCCAAACCCGTATTTCCTGAGTAGGAACAAGCAAAATGTGCAAAGCATAGAAGTCATCTTTATTAACGTCACTTCTGTTCAACAAGTGACAAATGCTCTGTTGCTCGGCTTACAATTCACTAGACTGCCTTCTGTCTCTGCCCAAATAAGAGAGAATTCCCACTTTTCCAGAGTCCTATTCACAGCTCAGGCCGTTGGCATCTTTCTGGAGCCGTTGGAAGGGGAATTATTATTATTCCCTTTTTTTTTTTTTTTTTTTTTTTTTTGTGTGTGTGTGTGTGTGTGTGTGTGTGTGTTGGTTTTTTGTGGGTTTTTTTGTTGTTTGTTTGTTTGGTTTTGTTTTTTTTTTTTTAATTATTATTAAGGTGTTGTTTCAAAAATGGGCCCTGACCCCAAAGGTCCCCCCTGTCACTCCGGGAAAGGGAGCGAGAGCGCTCCGTGGCGGGGAGGCCGGCTCGGCTCCCGGCCGCGCCGCTGCCCCGCCGGCTGCTCCCGCTGGGCAGGAACCGGTGCCCCCGTCCCACAGCGGGAGGGGAGGCGGGGCCTGGGGAAGGGACACTTGTCCGGGAGCACCGCAAAGGGGACCAGGGAGGGATCCTCCGGCAGAGAAGAGCAGAGGAGGAGAGGTTGACCAGCAGATGCGAATCGCAGAGGAACCTCTGTACTCACCCAAACCTCCACGAGTCTCCGACGCGCACCCTGGACCGAGTTGCCCCTCTCCTAATCTGGCTCGCCTGGTCCCAAGGGAAAGGCGGAGCGTTACCCTCCTGCTCCGGCGCCCCGGACTTTGGTGGGCTTGCCGGGGTCCATGTCCCAGGGCTGGCTCCAAAGGCTGGGGAAAAAGCGGTAGGGGGAGGATGACTTTAAGAGCTTCCCACGAAATGGTATTATAGTAAGAGAATGATAAAAAAGTCGGGCTGAAGAGGGGTAACGCCAGGAACCACGAGCCGGGTCCTGGAGGGGGCAGCGCATGACCTGTGCCTCCCAGCCTGGGGCGGGGGGAACAGGGAGTCCCGGACAGCCTCTTCGCCGATGAGCGGGGCTGGGTGTCTTTCTAAATAAACTACACAGACAGCGCATGGACATCCATAAAATATATCTGTACGGGTATATACACATATATAAGATAAGCAAAACGGACCTGGAGACCCCTTAGAGGAGAGTCCTCTCCCCTTCCCAAGCAGGCACCATCCCCTCCGGCAGGACACCCGCTGCCTGCTCACGGGAGCAGCCGCCCCTCCGCCACTCTCCCAAAACCGAGTCAAACGCCTCAAGCCGGGGGCTCCGGGCTGAGGACAACCTCACCGCTCCGCCGACAGCCCGCGGCGACCGCGGCTGGGCCCGCGGGGCCGGAGCCGGCTCTCCGGGCGGCGGAGGGCGCATCTCCTCCGTCCATCGCCGCCGCCGCCACATGAAAGCGCTCGGCGGGGGGTGGGCGGGGGGTGATTATTATTAATAATATTAATGATATTAATATAAGCGCGATGTCCGCGGCGCCGATTGGCTGCCGGGGCTGCCCGCTGAGCCCGCTGCAGCCAATGGAAGGCCCGGGATGTGGAGCGGCCAAGCCCCCCCAGCCGCGGCCCGTGTGCCGGGGCCGCCGCCGCCGCCCCCCCGCGCCGGGATTTGCTCCCTAATTGACCTAAATAAGGAGCTCGTGAACGGCGGCCCCGGGGCGGCGCGCACACGCACGGCCACGCAGACACACGGACGGCCACGGGGACACACGGACGCACACGGACACACAGACACGCACACGGACACACGCAGACGCCCGGCAGCGCCCGGCGCCCGCCGCTTTACCCGCGCAGATCCCATTCGGCGCGGCGCTCCGCCCACCGCAGGATCCCCCGCTCCTGCCCGCCGTTTAACTCGCATGACATTTTTATTTCGTTATTAGCGTTTTCGCGCAGAATCTGGCGCCTCCGATGGGTTGTCGGGCTGCCTTTTTTTTTTTTTCCTTCCCCGTTCCCTTCCCCTCCTCCCCCTCCCCCCTCCCCTCCTAGCTTGCAGGAAATGATGGCAAACCGCGATCTGAAATGATTACTCCGGAAAAAAAGGCTTTTATACCAGGAGAGCATCCACGGGGCTAGGCAGAGGCGAGAGGCGGCCGCGGGGCAGCGGGGAGCCGAGGATCCAGCCGCCGGCGGAGCCGGGACCCCCTCCCGCACTTCTCTCCGACCATGCCGGACGAAGCCACGGAAAACGCCGGCTCCACCTCCGCCCGCGTCTCGTCCTTCTTCATCGAGGACCTGCTGGGCACCGAGGGCACGGCGGGCGGCGGGGCGCGGCGGGCGGCGGCGGCGGGCGGCGGGCGCGGGGGTCCGCGCTGCGGGCCGCGCTCCCCGCTGCGCATCGGCGCCCCGGGCTGCCCCCTCCGCGACGCCGCCGTCGGCTGGTACCGCCGGGCGCACGCCGCCTTCCTGGGCTGCGCCAGCCCCGACAGTAAGTCGCCTTTCCCCACCCTTCACCGCCGGGCCCGGCCGGGGCTGGGGGTGTTCCTGCTCCCCCCGGGGTGGGGGGGTCCGGGTCCCGGAGTGCCCCCCGCCCTGCCTCCCCGTTTTCGGCCGCTCGGGGCAAAGCTCCGGAAATGCTCCCTATGTGTCAGGCACCTGGAGCCTCCGCCCCGCCGCCCAAAGTGTAAACAGGGATTCTTGGCTTGCTTGGGGATTTTTTATTTTCCCTTTCCCTCCCCCATCTCTTTTTCTTTCTCTATTTTTTCTCTCCTTTTATTTTTTTACATTTCTTTTCAAGAGGCTTTTTTCTTCTTTTTTTGGTTTTTTTTTTCTTTTTTTTTTCTTTTTTTTTTTTTTTGACTCCTCATCAAGCCGGAAAGCTGGGAGCACCGTCCCCCAGCAGCGCAATGGAGACTTTGGGAAGCCGGGGGAGCAGCTGGGCTCAGTCCCGGCGGCCCCATCCGACCCTTCCTGCAGGGCCAGCCCCGCTGCCCTCCGCTCGCACCGCGGCCTCTCGCCGCAGGGATCCCAGTGGAGAGGGTGTTGGAGCAGAAGCTGGGGTTCGGGGCAAAATTAACATATGATAGAGTGAATGGGCTGCCATTAGTGGTTATTTTCTATTTCCTGATAGAAAAAACATTGTGCCTTGGCCCATCTCTGTGACCCTCTATGAGCCTGCAGAAATCTCATAATTGCTCAATAAGGAAAAGAGGAGTGATTAGTAATACAAATAGTTTCTTTTTACATTAATGGACTTATTAATATTTTTAATTTCTCTCAGAAGTGCATATAGAGACAGCAAAGTACTCCAGAAATAACTGCGCTTTTTTCCTTTTTTTCTTTCCTTCTTTCTTTCTTCTTTTTTTTTTTTTTAATTTCTCTTTTCCCTCTCTTCTATAAAGAGTAGGAAATATTTTTTTCCCCTTTCAAATTGTAATTGGAATGCGCAGTGTTGGAGACTGCATGGAAGTATGTCTCGATACTGGAATAGTTGTCCCCATCCATTAGCTTTCTGTAGTCCAGAATAATGTGAATTTTTTTTTTTTTTTTGTCCCTCTCTATAAACACACGGACGCACTATTATGCTTACCCCTCTTACACAGTATACTTACAAATGTACTTTTAAGTATATATACGTGCATACGTGTGTAAATACAGACATGTGTATATAAATAAGAGGTCACACGTATTCCTGTGTGTGCATATACACACAAAAATTACACACGTACTTCTGTGCATATCCACGTGCTTGCATACACACACGGTGCGTTTTATGGTTTGAAAACAGGCCGCGTGTGTGTTATGTGCATACACAGCAGTGCGCACGCATACACAGATCCACGAGCATGTCCATAGACCAGATTATTTATAGATATAAAATACAGGGCTTGTGTTTCCATGCAAGCATGCGTGCACGTGTGCGTATAGCTCAGAAGCATTAGGGAGTTTATGGCAGGAGGCAGAGAAGCGGCAGGAGCCTTTGCTGGGGCCCCTCGCTGCCCGGCCTTGCTGTCCCCGCAGCCGCGCTGGTTTCCCCTCCCGGCCAGCGGGGCGGGCGGGCAGCGCTGCCCCTGCTCGCTCGGTGCCCGCAGCAGCGCTCTGCTCTCTTTGCAGCCAGCGACCGGGACTCTCCCGAGCCGCCCGAGGAGCCGGCGGAGCGGGCGGGCGGCGGCGGGCGGGCGGCGGCCAGAGGCCCGGCGGGCGGGCGGCCGGGGCCGGGAGGCCGCGAGGAGGAGGAGGAGCGCGGCGAGGAGCCGGGAGAGCCGGAGCAGCGCGCCGCCGGCCGCAAGAAGAAGACGCGCACGGTGTTCAGCCGCAGCCAGGTGTTCCAGCTGGAGTCCACCTTCGACGTGAAGCGCTACCTGAGCAGCTCCGAGCGGGCCGGCCTGGCCGCCTCGCTGCACCTCACCGAGACCCAGGTGAAGATCTGGTTCCAGAACCGCCGCAACAAGTGGAAGCGGCAGCTGGCCGCAGACCTGGAAGCGGCCAACCTCTCCCACGCCGCCCAAAGGATAGTGCGGGTCCCCATTTTGTACCACGAGAACTCGCCGGCGAGCGCCTTGGGCTTCACCCTGCCGCACATGTCGCCCCCCTTGGTGGGCTTCTCCGGCGGCGTCAGCTACCCCCTGGGCACCTTCCCCGCCGCCTCCCTCCCTTTCCTACGGTCGCAGATGACAGGACTCGTCTGAGCGCCCACCTCTGCCGGGACCGCGGGCCCCTCACCTCCTCCCTCGGCTTCCAGCTCCACCCCCCCTTCCTCCACGGACTTTTTATTTTCAACTTACACGTTTCTTGATTTTCTGCTATTTGACTTTTTTTTTTTTTTTTTTTTTTTTTTTTTTTTTTTTTAACGTGCAATAAACTTACTCTTGGGGTTAACTCGGAGCGACGTGCGGCAGCCCGGAGGGAGCCGAAAGGACTCGAAAGACCCCAGCCATGCACAGGGATCAGGTCGGCGGGGCTCCCACCGCCGCGCATCCAAAGAAAATCCAGCCCCGTGGCAGCGGCAAAACCCTCACCGCCGCCCCGGCCCCGGGCTGGCGCAGACCGGCGTTTTCCGAGGGATTTACAGACTCCCCCGAGCCTTCCTGCCGCATCCCGCGGAGCTGCCGAGCGTGACACGAATGTACGGCACCGCCGGCGCTTTCCGGCCGCCCCCACCCCACGGGCGGCCGAGCCTCGGGGCCCCGCCGCGGCCGTGAGACCTTCCCCGGGCATCTGGCGGCCCGGCCGGAGCTCCTACGGGGGAAACCTTTCGGTACCCCCGCCGCCCCAGCAGCTTTCCGTGCAGAGCGGGGAGCCCTGCTGATCCCGGCCTCCAGCAGCTTCTCCAGGGCCCTTTGTTTTAGCCACTTACATATCCCGCTCCCATCGTTACTCTCATTTCCATACTACCGACACCCAAGCATGTGCTGGTGCCCCCGGTCCTTCTCGATGCAGAAGTTTTGATTTGAAACAACTTGAAGGCAAAGTGTTGGAAAGAATTCGCCCTGCTGAAATCCGAGCTGTGAGGATTTGGTTTCTTTGTTTTCGATTTATTTCCCTGGCAAATTATCGGCTAAAATACACGGTTTTATATATACACGTATATATGTAATTCTACATACTGTATTTTACAAGTGGATTTGCCACTCTTTTTTTTGGTCTCCTGAAGAGGTTGAGGAAAGCGCACCTCGACTTGTCCGTCTCTTACGGGATCGGTTTGTGTAATCGATTAATAATTCACTGGCAATTAAAAAGGAAGCAAAGAAAAATAATCAGATGGGAACAGACTGGGGAGCTGTATGTCTGATTATGCAAGCGAACCTGTAACGTGATATTATACGAAGTATTATGCATGCCAAGTTATTGTTTTTCTTTAATGACTGTTTTGTTTCCCCTCTCTTACCCACTCCTAAAATGAATTTCTGAACTATCATTATTTCTAAAAGTTTGAATTCCTTTTTCCAAATAGTAAGGGGGAAATGACCTTATAAAACTCAGCCTTGGTGGAAAGTCAAGCTTTGATCGTACGTTCCAGGGCATAATCCGCTGCAATGGAACCAACCAGCTCGGAGCACTCGGTGTCCCTGCAGGCAAGGCCAGGTCCTGGATCTGTTGGGGAATGCGGACCTGTCTCCTGTGAAGGAAGGGCGATCTAATTCTTACTCTTTCCTACGCTTTTCATTATAATTGGAGCAATCTTTTTCTGGTTATGAAATCGATCAGCAAGATGTGGTGGAGCTTCAGCTTTGATACAAAACCCTAGAAGGGTCAGGGGTGGATTATAACCTTGACGCAATTTTGGACTTTCCCCCCATATTTTTTCTTTTTTTTTTTTTTTTCCCTTTCTTTTTTATTTTCTTTTTTTTTTTTTGCCTTTCTATTTTTTTTTCTTTTTCTTTTTTTCCTCTGCTTTGGCCTGAAATATGGCTCTGAGCACCAGCCTGCGCAGTTGAAGTCAGGACATTGCAAGCCTCAAAACCACTTGAGAATTGCATATATACGTATACATGCATGTATATGTTTATAAGCTCCTGAGAAAAGCACTAAATTGGCGGGATACTGGTTTCGATGTAAGCCATTTTCTGGAAGCTGTTGTCTTTTGAAGTTTTCTTTTTACTTTCCTTTTTTGGTTTATTTTTTTTTTCTCCCTACTGGTGCTGATCTCACCCTGAAATCTCCGGACATATTGGCCAGCTGTTTTCTTGGTATATCCATCAAACAGCCGAATTGGAGATGAAAACTTTTAAAGCCTGGTCCCCGAGCGGTGCAAGAAGGACCGGGAAGAGGCGAAGTTGGGGACGTCGGAGCTGCTGGGCTGGACTTGAGCCTTTTCGTGCCAGAGGAGGTGACCTGGGCCGATGTTTCTTCCTCAGGGCGCAAGCACTTGATTTTGATGCCGTTCAAAGCCTGGCTGCCCCTGGAAGAGAGCGGCTAAACAGTTTTTCCCGTCATATCCAGCTCCCCAGATCTCCCAGTGTTACCTACTGGAGTAAAATCCTGACTCATTACAGTCATATCAGAGTAGATTGTAATCCAACGAGAAATTTAACATGCCTGCCACTCTCCACATGCCTTTTCTTTGGAGTAACATATGAGATTATTATACTTCTGATTCTACTAAGTATTCTTTCCTTGAAGTTAAGGAACAGGCAGGGCTAAATGATCAATCGGATTTTTAAAATGTGTTTTGACATTAGTATGTTTGTTTTTTAAAGATGTGCTGATTATATCAATAAACAGATTTTTTTCATACACTGTATTTGTAACTTATGATCATGGTAAAATATTAAAAGGTGCAAGACGTGAAGTCATCTAAGAAAAAGTGCTTACTTATGCCTTATTCTGTACATGCAGAAAATGATTTATAGTGGCTTATTAAAAGTATGTGCTGAAAGTAGGAACATATACACCTCAGGTTTCTTTACCTCGTAGCTTTTGCAATGATACTTTTCCCTGTATCTGATGGCAAGAAATTTCTGCTGGATGCAGAGAAACACCTAGCACCAGATGCAGTCCCTGAGGTATGTGCATTGACTATTTCAAAATGGGCAAACCCCCACACCCGAACACCCAAACCCATCCCTTAAATCAGGACAGCAAATTCCTCGCAGATTTATTCCTTGTGTGTATTTTTTTTTTATTAAACGAATAAAAATTGTAAGAGTCACACGCTTTGTACTGTTCCTGCAAACAGAAATCTCTAAGAAAAATGTTGATGGACTGTAAAGCTCAAAGAACTTTTGCAAAGGCTATTTATGACATGTAGAGGCATACGTTGCTGCTTTACAGATCAAAGCAACCTCAGAATAGCTTTAAAATAAATCCAGTTATACTACAGCTGTAATATTATTATGCAGCATAAATCCTTGTCTGTTGACATTTATTTAATGAATGTTGGTACAACAGCTTAGCTAGATGGCACTCCAGAGGCGAGGCAAAGGAGAACCTTGCCAGATTACTCACAAAGACAACTTGTGTTTATTGGACGCTAATAAAAATAATTAGTGAAAAGTTTTTTTAAAATTTATTTTTATTTTTATTTAAGCAAAGCAAACGACAATCAAAAGAGAGTCTGGAGTGCCTTTTAGAAATAAATTCCTAGTGTAGATGCAGTAAGACGTTATTATTAATTACACTTTAAATGAAAATGATCGATATGCTGGAAAGCACCTTGTTAAATGGCTACTTTGCAAATGGTACATTGCTCACCGGTTTAAGATGGCCCATAACTTTTCTCGTAGGCACGAGTCTAAAATATTAATGCAAATCAATACTTGATAAATCTCGTAGGTGCGTGCTGGCTCCACTGTTCAACAATATATTTGGATCGATTCTTTTTTTTTCTTGTCCACTGCATTATCTTGGAATAGTCTGTCTGTGCCCTCTGCCAATGTGCCCCGCGCTCGCCATCGATCCGAGAGAGACTCGCTCCAGACTCCAGTGGACCCGCAGTGCTGTCAGCCTCAAATTAGATCCAGGCAATATTCCTACATTTCCCTTCCCATTCCAGATGAATGTAACTTTATGATGGATGTCTTAATGCTTCCTTTAACTATCCTGAGTTTCTCAACTCTGCCTATGATTTAATTTCTATGTAGTGAGATACATGAATATCTATTCAAAAAGATATAAACGAAAATTTAGATGTCCACCTAAAATTTAAACTTTTCTTTTCTTTTCTTTTCTTTTCTTTTCTTTTCTTTTCTTTTCTTTTCTTTTCTTTTCTTTTCTTTTCTTTTCTTTTCTTTTCTTTTCTTTCTTTTCTTTTCTTTTCTTTTCTTTCTTTTCTTTTCTTTTCTTTTCTTTTCTTTTCTTTTCTTTTCTTTTCTTTTCTTTTCTTTTCTTTTCTTTTCTTTTCTTTTCCTTTCCCTTTCCCTTTCCCTTTCCCTTTCCCTTTCCCTTTCCCTTTCCCTTTCCCTTTCCCTCTCCCTCTCCCTCTCCCTCTCCCTCTCCCTCTCCCTCTCCCTTTCCCTTTCCCTTTCCCTTTCCCTTTCCCTTTCCTCTTTAGCAATTCCAGCCCCCTAAACAGTTGGATATTACTACCTGTATTCGGAATTCCCCTCCAGATTTTCCCTCAGATATCAAGCACAGTGCCAGGAGGAAGGCGATTTAGCAGAAGACTCTGAACTGACCTCAGAGAGAAACAGAATTTCCAAAGGGGATGATGCTCTGTCCCGCGGCACAGCGTGGCCGTGCCCCGACACCTCCTGGGCCGGAGCATCCTCTGAGCGTGCCCAGCTCCCCGGAAAAACCTGTGTCTGTGTGGCGCTTGTAGCTGCTTTCCTGGGGAACCCCTGGGCGAGTTGCTTTCCCTCCAGCGATGCCGTTTTCTCTGCCCTCCTCCCCCGCTCCCTCCCCGGGCTGCCCGGCGCAGGCAAGGGGTGTCCCCGATGCCCGAGCCCTGCCTGCTCCAGGGGGGCGGCAGCGGGGCCCTGCCGGGGACATGGGAGACAACAACAGCAACCGCAATCCGTGTCCAGCCGCTGCTGGACCGCTAAAGCCACTTTTATTTAGGGACAAGCAGCGCCAAAGTGCCCGAACCCGCCTAGTGATTTTAAGGAGCTTTTGGGACAGGGCTTCTGTTCAGGAGCCGCTCGCCAGGGCTGAGTCCCAGGAGAGCATCGGAGATGCTTTAGAGAGCGCTGCGAGGTGCTGCTGTGTCCGCAATCGCCAGGGTTTTACTTGCAAGGGGATTTGAAATCCAGGGAGGGACTTTTACCCTCGAGTACCTCAGGGGATAAACCAAACTCGATTCTGTAAACCAAGCAAAACCAGACTCTTTGGCGTTTCTGTACCGTCTAATCAGATTTCATTTCCATCAGGGTTAGAGTAAGAGACTTTTTGTGCTCTGAGCTAAAATGGAAATATAGATATGTATGACGAGTGATTTCTGGTAAAAAGCTTTCCCAGGTGAAAGGTTTCCACTCTGCACGATGTTAGCGTCTACTACAGGATTATATTACTAAATGGAAAAGGTTGGTTATTCCTGCCCTGCCTCTGTGCGGTACTGGCCTCCGTGTCCTCGCACGTCCCAGACAACGAGGTTCTTCACAAATAAAATGCAAATGAAGAGTGGGCTGAAAAACCTCCACCTATTGCAGGAGCTTGTTACCGAGAGCCTTTCGGAGCCGGCAGGAACCGCGATGCTGAGGAGCGGAGCCGGGATCCGCGGGGGATCCGCTCCCTGGCCTCTGAGCCCAGACCCTCCTCGCTGCCCCTGACCCCCGCAGAACGCGGAGGCTGCGGCCAAAGTTGCCCCTGCCCACACGAATCTCTTCCCGGGACTGCCCGCTCATCCCGGGAACCACTCACTGGAAAAAAACTCCTGAATTTTGGGAGATTCTCTCCCCTCCGCCCGGTCTGACACCGTTGCCCACATTAGCTCTGGGTGGAGTGCCGGGGGGAGCTGGGGTGGTGCTGCTGGCTGTGTGCAGGTTGGGGTGGTGTTGCTGGCGGTGTGCAGGTTGGGGTGGTGTTGCTGGCGGTGTGCAGCGGGCCCGGGGGTTTCGCTGCTTTCCCCCGCGCATCCCCGCTCCCTCTGCAGGAGAATTCTTCGCAGGTGGTGTTTGGGTTGTGCAGGATACGCTCTACCTGTTGCTGTTTAGTTTCCCCTGAAGGTAAGAGTGACCTAGCAGAGGACACCAGGAGGCCGGTATGGACCTGGCTTGTAGAACTCACAGCAGGAGCACCCCGGTTTCCCTCGCATCCTCTTGTGGCCAGTGAATTGATCCCAACTTGTCCCAGGGCCTGAAGAGATCCAGCTCTGTAGCTGCTCCCTCTGCACGAAGTTTGTCGAAGGGAAACAAGCAAAACCAAAACCAAAACCCAAACACAAAAACAAACAAAAACCCCCCAAAAGCCAAACAAACGTCAAACACAAAACCAAACCAAAACAAAAATACCGAAAATACGAAAAGAACCCAAACCAAACAAAAAATACCCCCCAAAAAACCGGTTTTGAAAAGTGGCCAAATGGGGCTGGGAATGGATGACAGACCTTTCCCAACAGGGTGCTACCGGACCGCGTTTCCCAGGAATGGGCTTGGACTGTCCGGGGAGTGGAGGAGGCTGTGGTGAATAAAAGATTGGGTAGTAAAACTTATGTTTCCTTCATCACTTTCCTTCTTAGTTCTGTCTTTTCCAGCTTTTACTTTTTCTTCCAAGAAAATGTCTTCTAGGAAAATACAGTGACTCAAGGCATTCGCTTTTTTTAGGATGGAGGGTTTTTTTTGTTTTGGTGGGATTTTTCTGGGTTTTTTTGTTTTTTGGTTTTTTTGTTTGTTTGTTTGTTTGTTTGTTTTTTGGAAATAGAAGGGAAATGGTTTGCAGCAAGAACAGACGTGAGCACCTGGGACATGCGCGAAGGGAGGCCAGGACAGGAGTGCAAACAGCAAACTGACTGCGTATCCAAGGCTCCCATGCTCCTAGTTTTACCATCTCAGACCAAATTTCTTAAATTACATTTTCAGCTGCTTTTTCGCATTTTTTATCTCTCTTACCTGGGTCATTGCCTTGGCCCTTCCCTCGCTCTCTCTTAAGTGGATATTTTGCTCTGATAAAACCCCCAGTTCTTATAGGAGACTGTAAGACAAATGCAACAAGTTGGAGTATTTGGCCAATAATCTTGTTGATGGAAGATGGATACGTTTCTTTTTCGGGTGGTGGAAAATGTGCAGCTCTCCAGCAGAAGGCTGAATTAAAATTTGAGTGCACTCATAAAGTGAAAAAAAAAAAACTTATGAAAAAGAGCTGAAACCCGCTTACTCAAGTACCAGTGCGTTAAAGATTAACGCGTCCAAAGCCTTAAGATGTCCCTGATTTTAGCTCATGGAATCTTTAGCATCGCAATATTTAAAAGCCTGTCAGCACTTCTATTGTCAACTCTTTTTTTCAAGGACTTCTCGCTTTTCCTCAGCAGTTTTCATGGTGGAAGTCCCGATACTCTCTCTAAAAGCCCCTTAAATGCCGTTGGAAGCATTGTCCTGGCTTTACACGGGGTCGCAGACAGGGTGATGCACAAAGGACGGCTGCTCCAAAATCGCTGGACGTCCTGCCTCGAGTAGCCCAAACGGATTTTAAAACGCTGCAGTGCCGGGAGTGTAGGAAGCAAAAGTTCTCAAGATAGTACAGAAACACATCGATCCTTCCCAGGCTGCAGCTCAGGTGAACACGTCTCCATCTCCCAAAGGCACACCTTGGAGAACTCACACCCGCACGCAGCCGGCCAGCACTGCCTCGTTTGGGAGCTACAGAAGAGCTCTGCTGAGGAGCGGGGCAGGTAGAGGGGATGGCGAGATGTGGGGGGAATGTGTGGAAGTTATATGTGGATTTTGGGGTGGCCTGACAACACGGGGCTCCTTGGGAGGGAAAAAGGATCCCTTTCTCCACAGGGGGACCATGTGTATTCAGTCTGAGAGTCTGCGGGTGGAGGGAGCGCAGGGACAGACTCTGCCTGTATGAGCTGCTCTTTCACAGTTCCTTCCTTCCTTCCTTCCTTCCTTCCTTCCTTCCTTCCTTCCTTCCTTCCTTCCTTCCTTCCTTCCTTCCTTCCTTCCTTCCTTCCTTCCTTCCTTCCTTCCTTCCTTCCTTCCTTCCTTCCTTCCTTCCTTCCTTCCTTCCTTCCTTCCTTCCTTCCTTCCTTCCTTCCTTCCTTCCTTCCTTCCTTCCTTCCTTCCTTCCTTCCTTCCTTCCTTCCTTCCTTCCTTCCTTCCTTCCTTCCTTCCTTCCTTCCTTCCTTCCTTCCTTCCTTCCTTCCTTCCTTCCTTCCTTCCTTCCTTCCTTCCTTCCTTCCTTCCTCCTCCCTTCCCTCCTTCCCTCCTTCCTCCCTCCCTCCCTCCCCTCCCTCCCTCCCCTCCCTCCCTCCCTCCCTCCCTCCCCTCCCTCCCTCCCTCCCTCCCTCCCTCCCTCCCTCCCTCCCTCCCTCCCTCCCTCCCTCCCTCCCTCCTTCCCTCCCTCCCTCCCTCCCTCCCTCCCTCCCTCCCTCCTTCCCTCCTTCCCTCCTTCCCTCCTTCCCTCTCTGATTGCCATCTCTGCTTTTCCTCACTGGACTCCTCCTCATTCCCATCTTCCCAGTCTTCTCCCTCCATTCTTCTCCTTCAATCCAGAGATCTCCCTTCTGCCATCCCACCTCCTCTTCGCCTTCCCCGTGGGCTCTGGCCCTGCCTTCCCTCCACCCACTTGCAGTGAAGGGCCTGGGCAGGCGGGCAGCGAGCCCTGCCCTGCCGCGGCTGTCCGGGCACCCTTTCGGGACCCCTCGGCTCCCCGCCCCTCCCTCCCTCCCCGCTTCCCTCTAGTCCCTGCTCCTTTTCCTTCTCCCTCTCCTCTCTGCAGGCTTCCCTCCCTGGCACCGCTCCCCCCGTCCTCAGTGCTTTGGCTCCCTCTAGCTCCATCCCCTCCCTCCGTCACCGCGACCCCTCCTCCTTCGCGGACCCATCCTTCCCTCCGCCCCGGCTGCCGCTGCCGCTCTCCCGCCGCCGCCAGTCCCGCAGCTCGGCTCAGCTCGGCTCGGCTCGGCTCGGCTCGGCTCGGCTCGGCTCGGCTCGGCTCGGCTCGGCTCGGACACGCTCGGCTCGGACAAGCTCGGCTCGCCGTGCCATGGTGCAGCTCGGGGGCGGTGGCCGCGTCCCTCCGGCCCCGGCCGCGCCGCCGGCCTTCAGCATCGACAGCATCCTGCAGCCCGGGCCCCGCCGCCCGGCCAGGGAGCAGGGCACAGCCTGCTGCGCGCTGCCGGAGGAGGAGGAGGAGGAGGAAGAGGAGGGAGAGGGGCCTGAGGAGCAAGACCCCAGTAAAGGCTCCAGCGACTCGGGTACGAAGCCAGCAGCCGCCTCAGGCTGTCCCACACGTCGGGTCGCAGTCCGGCCCCAGCCGGGCGGTACCTGGGCACCCCCAGAGCCGCCGGGCCGGGCCGGGCCAGCGCACGCACACACAGACACGGACACGGACACGGGCACAGACACAAACACGGACACAGACACAGACACGGACGCAGACACGGGCACAGACACGCACACACAAATACAGACACGCGAACACAGACACACACGGACACGCAGGAGGAGGGGAGGCTCCGCGGGCGGCCGCGGGGAGATGCCGCACACGCACCAACCTGCTTCCAGGGTGTTGTGCCCCCCTCCCGGCCTCCTGCGGCTGGCTGTCCCGGGCCCGGGAGCCCCTCACTTTCCTGTCATACAGCTGGCAGAAGGGTTTCCTTGGATCCTTATGGAAGCACCTCACCCTTCTTCTCCCCTCTGGAGGGTGTGGGACCGCGGCCAGCCCTCGGCAGCCCCCTCCCCATCCTGTCCCCCACCCTCTCCCTGCGCTCCGCCGGGCCGAGCGTGCGTGCGGGGCGGGGGCGCGGGCTGCGGCGGGGACTGATGCCGTGCTTTGCCCTTGCAGGCAGCGAGCCCCGCCGGCTTCGGGCAGAAGGGACGAGCCGCGGCCTCCGCCCCGAGGGCGGCGATGCGGGGTCCCCGCTCCCCACGGAGGGACTACCCGGTCCCCGGCAGCCGCCGCCGCGAGAGGCCGGGGGCTCTGGAGAGAACGGCAGGTCATCGGCGGCGGGCGGCAGGAAGAAGACACGGACCATCTTCTCCAAGAGCCAGGTGTTCCAGCTGGAGTCCACCTTCGATGTGAAGCGCTACCTGAGCAGCTCCGAGCGGGCCGGGCTGGCCGCCGCGCTGCACCTCACCGAGACCCAGGTGAAGATCTGGTTCCAGAACCGCCGCAACAAGCTCAAGAGACAAATGTCATCCGAGCCCGAGGGCCAGGGGCCGGGGCCGGCAGAGCCCCCCGGGGAGCCGCAGCCCCCCACTGCCGCCTCGGCTCTCTCCTTCCCGTCCCTCTACAAGGACAGCCCCCTGCTCAGCCGCTGCTTGCTGCCGCTGCCTTTCCCCCTGCTGTGCCCGGGCAGCGCCATCCCCTACCTCTGCCTCCCCGGGCCGGGCAAACACTTCAGCCTGCTGGACGGGGACGTATAGCCCTGGCCTCCGACCTTCCCTCGCCGGGGGCCGCCCCGATTTTATTTATGACCCCCCCTGCGCAGGTGGAGCGTCCGTCTTCGCCACAGCCACCACCCGGCCCACGGAGGGGCTGCCCGGGCTCCCCCCACGCGTGTCCGTGGGCTGCCGACACGTTGCTAAATCTGGGAAGGGCGGTGCCAGCCCGCTCTCCCTCTTGCAGCGCTTTTTCGGCAGTCAGGACGGAGGAGATACCAGGGAGCCACCAAAGAAACGGGGACGTGCTCTGCCTGCCGCCCTTCCAAATTATCCCGTGCCGGCATTACAGGAGGGCCGGTGCTCTGCCTCAGTCCGTGGGGACTGTGTCCCCGTGTCTGTCCCGTGCACCGTGGCTGTCGCTTTACCGTGAACCGAGTCACGTTTCATAGAGATGGGTAAATGGCGAAGGCCGCTCTGTGCTTCTCTATCTCAAACTCTCCTCCTCTAATACCCCTCTGAGTAGCTTCTCCCCATCTTTTGCATTATCAAATTGTAGACACCTTTCCTCGGATCTGGTTCTTAAACTGTGACTTTCCTGCTTTTTTCCCCTTCGGAGGAAACATCCCAAGATCTTTCTTACATGTTTTGTGCTAACTGGTTCTCAGACTGGGGGTCATGTGGTGTTTTAACAGAGCAAGACAAGCTGTCTCTTGTGTTAATCCCGCCCCCCGAAATGTCGTGGAACGATTTTACCTGCTATCCTAGGGTAAAGCAGTGGGGTTTTAATTTTTTTTATATCTATCTACATATAAATTTGCAAACGCTTTTGTGGTCTTTTGGTTTCTAAGTTAACATGCTTTATATCCCAAGGTTGGAAATAAACCTTTTCAGAAAGTTAAAACTCCTGCCTTTTCAATAGTCACTACTAGGTAGTACCAAAGGAAAGATATTTCCTAGAGCGCATCGATGGTTCTTATTTTACAAATAAAGAGCACAATTTAAAAAATAAAAGCATAATCGTCGCGTTACGAAATTCACCCTTGCATGCGCGAATGGCAACTCATCGATTTTCCCAGTGAAGAAAAAAAGCACGATAGTTGTTTCGGCTAGACAAGAAGGGCTTTTCTTTCCTTTTCTCACTCTTCTGTTTGTCTTTCCGTGGGCAATTGACGCAGATGCTCGGGAGGTGCCGCAGCGGGAGCCGAGGCCGCTCCAGCCCAGCGCGGGGAAACGCTTTCCTCGGCATCCCGAAGTTTCCCGGCCGCTGTGGTTATCTAGAAAACATTTCTAGTTTGACCTCTCCTCTCGCTTTTTAATCCGTTTTCAATCGGTGTCAAGTAGCGAGAGGTGTCTCACAGAGTCCCCTTGCTCTGGGAAAAAAAAACAACAAAAAAAAAATCGAGGCAGTGGATGGAGAGGGTGGTGTCAGGCTTAAGGGGACCTGCTGGGTGCATTTTATAGCTTCGGTCTCCCCACCACGGGAAGGTGCAGGCAACGAACTGATGGTCTGGACAGCAGGACTCACGCTTCTTTTCTCGTCTGAATTTATAATGATAGTTAAAGAAATTAAAATCCTCCGAGTCAGCGAGTTGCTCCGTGGCTAAAAAACATATTTTCCAGAGTGGTGATCTCTGGTTCCTGTTTTTCTATATTTCATAACTGGTCATCTGTTTCAGAACCTTCCTTTTGTTTTTTGTTCTAATATTTTCCATGCCTACACCCCATTACTTGACTACTATTACCAGATTAATTAATAACAATAGAAGCAAATCCACCTTTTCCTAAATCCCTACCAATGGAAGTTCAATCAGATACAACAGCTATACACTAGGGTCCCTTTCTTTAGTTCTTTAACATGGAACGAAACTTTATTTAAAGACTGTCCTTCCACGACTGCAGCTCCTACGTCTCCGTGGCGAAAAATAACCACATAAGAAATTGTTATTTTGCAAATAATCTACTTTTCACTACATTTATCGAACCATTTTCTGTCTTCCCTCTGCTTTACCATTTTTCCTTTCAAATTGTTGCTGGAATTACCGAAGCAAAATGAAGGAAAACACGAACCCCACGAAAACGGGGGAAGGTTTTTTTTTTTCTTTTTTTTTTTTTTTTTCAATAGAAACAACGGGAAGAGTAGTTCTGCAGGCAGGAGGAGTTCGCTTGTTGCTGAAGGAGCCGATCGTTAGGAGTTAATGAGCAGCGAACGCCCGAAACAGCCGTGTAGCGAGGCAAAGCAAATAACTACCCCAAAATATTCGTTTCCCATCAAGGTAAAAGTGGAGGTTCTGAGAGTACTGGCCATAAGTATTATCCAAACTGGTGCTACACAGTGTAACACGGCCAGGGGCAAGGGGCTTTCTCTAAAAAAAACCAAGTTCAGGATTTATCGGGATTCCCAGCTGAGCAATCAATGTTGATCACGCTGAATATTACTGACATTTCTTTTACAGCTCAAAACAACTGTGCTTGCAATTATTAATTGCTCCTTGCTGCAACAGGAGATTGCTACAAGCCACTGTATGACTAACCTGTTGATGAGAGACTTCAAGGAATGAAACAGACCACAGCAGAACTAAACAAGAAAACAGGCAAACACACCCCAAACAACCCCCTAAGCCATCCAATCAACAAAAAAACCCTCCAAACCTCAACCAAAAAAAACCAAAAAAAGAAAAACCCCCCAAAAAACCCAACAACAACAACAAAAAAAAAAACCACAACCCAAAAACCCCCAAACCCTCAAATCCCAAAAAACTCTGCTAGCAAGCAGTTTGAGAAAAAAAGAAAAATACAAACAAACAAACAAATAACCAAATCAAACAACCAATTCCAGCTCCAAACAGTGCTAAAGCTCAGGCTTCCTTGGAATTCTCTATAAACTAAAGTTAAGAGTAAGACCTGGTTCCTGAATATTTTAAAAAAAATATTGGTAATTAAATATGACGCATATCATCAGGAAAATATATTTAAAAATCAGTTGGATGCATGCACAATTGTGTTGGATACATACACAAATGCATTACTCATTGAAAGAGTATAATAAAAGGACTTAAAAAATCTGCTCAATCTGTCTCTCCTCCACCTATTCATAAAAGCCTCACAAGGCTCATTCTAGGTGCAGCAGCTCCAGAAAACTTGATTTTCATATCACTTGTTATGCTGTAAAATTCCCAGAGCTTAGTATGATCAATCACACAACTTTTCTTGTCTGAAAGTGTGCTGAGAATAAGAGAATTCATTTTCTTCTGCTGGAGAGCAAGCCTTCTCACTTAACTGCTCTGTTGGATGGTTTTGGAAAACTCCCCTAGGACTGGTTTCCCACTGGAATCTCATGATCAGGAGGCTGGACCAGACACTCGTTTTCATTTTGTTTTGTTTTGCTTTGCTTTGTTGTTCTCTAATCATCACTACATAAACACCTTAATGGGCAGCACAAGGACACTGTGCCAGCCTTGTCCACCCCAGTGCTGTTTAGATTTCTGCTCCTGACCAGGCTGGGGCTCACCTGCATGAGGTGAGGGAAGGTGTGCTACAGACTGCAGGGAGAAGAGTTACTCAGCATAGTTCCATGACCTTGCTAGATGTTGATCTAGAATATGAAAACTTTCCTGCTGGTTCTCCCCTTTTCATGGATCTGGGATTTTTTTGTTTGGTTGTTTTTTTGTGAGTTTTTCTTTTTTTTTTCTTTTTTTAAAGAAATAGTTTTGGAGAGGCACACAGTTAAAACGATGTCTCTGCATCTTCTGTGCAGTGGAGGTCTAACTGTACTATTTTTTTTGGAAAGCCAGTAATTTATTTCCTATTCCTATTCATGTGAATATATGCAGTGGGCTCCTTTTGCAGGTTAAACTTGGACTGATTCTGCTTTTCCTTACAAACACATGGTGAAAAGGCAAGGATGAGACCTGTAGAATATGTCTAACTCAGAGCAGAATTTGTCAGATTGCGTCCTTAAGATATTTTCCTTTTTGAAGAATTTGAAGTTATAATATCCTCATAGCTGCAATGTAAAACAGTAACCATATTGGAAACAGTAAGTCATGCATTTACTGGAGAGGCTTGGAAATGCCTGAAATGAAATGTGCATTTACAAGTGTCTCAACACTGATGTTGAACATTCTCTTGCATCCTGAGATGTGGTTGTCAACCAATTCATCTGTCACTTTAAAGTAGAGATCATATAAAAAAAATTAAAACCTGTAAAATGTTTATTACTAAAAATATTTATCTTTTGTCCTATTCTGTGTTGCAGTGCTTAGGAAGTGCTCTGTTCCTAAAAGAAGAAAGCCTTTTATTTCAGAGAAGAATTTACCTCTAAAGAAAATCAGTGAGTTCTGTAATGGGAAATGGTGATTGCAATGTAATCAGTGCGCAGAGGGGACAATCATATCTGCCTCTTCTCTGCTCTCCACACATCATTTACATTGATGATGATCTTTATATAAAATCCAATGGAGACCAGAAAACATTACCAGGCATTCTAGAAAAAAAAACAAAAACCAAACCAAACCAAACCAAACCAAACCAAAACAAAACAAACTAAAGGAATGTCCACTGTGAACACAGCACAACAGCTGTATCATCAAAATCAAGTTATTTAGCACAATTAGCAGTCGAGAACATTCAGTTAGAGAAAGTCTGCAAGATCAGAAAATCTGCAAGTAATTAGAAGGAGCAGGAGAGGAAGACATGGGCATGCCCGAAGGTGGCTCTAAGGAGGGCAGAACCACAATAGCAGGGGAGAAATTTTCAAGCAAAATAGTTGTCCTTACCTGTGAGACTTTTGGGTCCTAGTGGGTAACAGAGACTGCTTTTATGAGCAGCTGTGTGGTCAGAGTATCAAAAGGTGTATCTGGAGTCAGCAACCCAATGAGCCACTTACAAATCATGAGTCTACCAGGACAACTGGGTGTTGTGCCAGACCAGAAATGATGGGGGACTTTGAGGACAAATGTAGTGGCAGTGGTGCCCGTGTAAAACACTGTGTAAAACCTCATTGTGAACACTGTGTAAAACCTCGTTGTACAGATCCACCTTTGAATTTTGGTTCCTCGGTCTGCTGCATCATATGTGTCCTTTGGGACAGTGATTTCTGAGCTGTTCTGATTGGAGCAGATTGAGCAGCCTGCTCAAAGGTTTTTCATCAGTTTGAGAATTGTTACACAGAAAGAAATGACACTTTATTAAACAACAGATCCTCTCCCACAGTTTTGATTTTTTACATTACTTTCACACTTAGACCT